GTCGCCCCCCCCCCCCCCCCCCCCCCGCTTCCCCGCCTCCTCGATGCAAAAACACAAAGTCGGAGACCCCGCAGACGTGCTGCCCATCAGCGTCCGCTTCTCCATCTCCATGCTGCCGTCCGAGCCCATGGAGCCGCGCTGGGGGGACGAGCGCGTGGGGTACTTCAACACGGTGTTCAGCGATCTCGGTGACCACCGCGCAACACGGGAGGGCCGGAATACCGATCTCATCGACACCGAGGTGAGGGGGCCTAGCCGGCGGAGAGCGTCGCGGGTTTGCCAGTGGCCTAGGGAGGGGGGCGGTGGAGAGAGGAGGGGGGGGAGATTCGTCCGGGTGTGTGCTTGGCATAGATAGCCAGTCATCCTAGTGTGGGTTCTGTAAGTTGAGTCATTTGTTTTTTTGGTCGAAGCGAGGGGCTGCACGTCGACAGAATACACTTAGTTTCAAGTACCTTCGTTTACACACCGTGCTAGTAACATTTTCCCGTCCTTGCCCCCCCCCCCCACTATTTCCCCCCTCGGTGTTTGTCATCGGGGTTGGGTTTTCGTCGCTTGGCAGCGACGTTGTAAAACAAGCCGCCCCCCCCGGTGTTTGCCATCGGGGTTTGGGTTTTCGTCGCTTGGCAACGACGTTGTAAAACAAGCCCCCCACTCGGTGTTTGCCATCGGGATTGGGTTTTCGTCGCTTGGCAACGACGTTGTAAAACAAGCCAATTCACTTCGTGAACTCGACAACCAGGTTACCGTTTTTTTTTTTTTACCTCGTTTTTTTTTTGCGGGCGGTAACCATAATGGTGGTCGAGTAGATCATGTTGTGCGGGGTCGAGAAACCTCACTCCGCGCAACGGGGGATGATCGCACCACGTTGTGTTAAAATGGTCAAGCTTCCTCGAGGCAGTTACACAGTGCTTACAACTGTCTCTGGAAGTGAAAGCACCAGAAAATAAATTAAGTCATACGTAGCTGTCATCCGTACGCAAGGAAGTAAGCACAAGATGCCGAACACCCTTAGCAGGATGCAGCTCACCCTTCATGCGACTCGCCAAATACCTCACGGCGCTTCGCGCTTGGTGATGTGAGAGCCTGGTCCGGTGAGAACCCGGCGTGCTCCGTCCCGGCTTTGTAGGGATGCGAGGTCAATGGTCAAACGACTACGGCATGCACGACTATGAGTACACCCCCCCCCCCCCCCCCACTATTATAGCCCATGTTTCCTGCGACCAACACCCCACAATAGGCACGGGGGGTGATGGTCCCCCTAATGCTCTCCTCTTGCCTTCGCCAAGAAACTCTACCAGCGGTAAATATATCGCCAGCAGAGAGAAGGGGACTGCACATAGCGCGTCAATGTTAACTATCTCAATCACCCTAACTTTCTTCGACATCAACTGCACGCCGTCTATGATAGCTGTCTTTGACACCAGCCCTACGCCGTCCGCGCGCCCCCGAAAAACCGACGACCGTAAACATCGTCACAGGTCACCCTCATCAACAAGCGGCGGATGACCCCTCCCACCGTTGCCGCCGCCGCCGCCGCCGCCGCCAGCGGCGGTGACGGAGACTCTCCCGCCGACGAGGCGGCGGCCACCCCTGAACCTGCCGCCGAGGGCGGCGAGCCCCTGACGTACTACGTCGACCCTTCCGTCCCCCCGGAGTGGCGCGAGTACATGCGGGCGGGAGTGGAGGCGTGGAGGCCGGCGTTCGAGGCCGCCGGGCTCGGAGGGGAGGCCATCCGCGCGGTCCTGCCTGGCGACGAGGCGTGGCCGTCGGACTACGACCCGGGAGACATCAGGTGCGGACGTGAAGCGGGGCGAGGCAGGGGCATGGTGGTGGTGATGTGGGGTGGGCGGGAGGGCGGTTGTCGAGGTTTGGCGTTTGCCGCGGGGGTGCGGTGGATTCTGGGAATGTGGGGATGGTATGCTGTTCGTGGAATCACGCGCGTGCGGGACACCAGGGTTGCGCCGATTGTCCACGGTACAACTTGTGTCGTGCGCAAGCCCCACCAGGGCTCGCTTGTGTACGACACCGTGGCGGCAACCTAACCCTACGTCTGCCTGACCCCAAGCCTCACCAACCTCTTTGTCACCATCCTTTGTTCGGTCTCCTATGTTACCCCTCAGCCCAAGCTACCGTAACCCTCACGGGTGTTGTTCATCTTTCCTTGAACACGACCGATACCGGACCCTTTGCTGGCTTGAGTCCGTCTTCTAGGCTGTCGTCGGCTCTGCATTGTCGCGAACCCCAACCGTTGTCCTTCCATCTCTCCGCAAGACCCCATCTTGACCGTGACTCAGAAGGTTCAATTCCACCACGGTGGGCTGCGGTAGACGTGGAATCTGCACTACTAACTGTCCCCAACTCCAGCCGTTACAATTTCATCTTGCCTTTTAGCCCCCAACCAGACGGTGAATCGGAAGGTTGAGTTCCATCACGTGGACGTCGACTCTGTACCGCCCCCAACTTCCGACTATATTTCCACGAAACCCCTACCCCGGACCCTCGCTTGCTCGGAAGGTTCAACTCCATCACATGGGCGGTCGATGTGGACGAGGTGTTCGCGCTGGGTCCTGCCACGATCGACCCCCGCACGGGGGAGATCCTCCACAGCGGCATCGTGTTCACCAACGGCTGGATCAAGTCCTGGTCGGCGTCCTTCGAGATCTACGGAGATTCGCCGGACGACGAGCCCTCCGCAAGGTATCGGGTTATTCGGGTGATTGGCTCCTCGATATCGTTGTAGCAGTTAGTGGTGGTAGGAAATTCGGTTGCTTCGCTCTTGGGTTTCGGTGGTGTGGTGTGATAGAAGTTACCGTTGGTGATGTCACCGATGTTGGTAAGTTGAGGAGATGGTGGCACACGACACGAAAACACGAGTACTGCTGTTGTCGTTGTCTCGTACGATTATTCCATTATTTTGTCAGGGCTTCACTTCGGGGCAGTGAATCCACCGTAAAGGATTTAGTATGGAAGTAAACGTCACGCGGAATGGAGTGTTTTTGTTGTAATTTTTTTGTCAGTATCACGGTTACATGTCCACGGTAACAGTTCCGCGGTACGGATTTCCAAGCAAGTGAGCCCTGGTTCTTGTTGGTGCCGTTGTTGCCACGGCTATCCAGCGTTTGTGGCCTCGGAAAGCGCAGCCCTCAAAACCCTCCGCCCTTCTTGCTCCGCCTTTGCATCCGCTGCACGCGGGCCAGGCAGCACGTGCGACGTGAGACGCTCATACCCCCCCCCCCGACCTTGCCCTCCGCTCTTCGAAACGAAACCACCCAGGCGCAGATCTCTGTTGAATCGACCGCCGGATTCGCACTCCCACTCGCACTCCCACGGCCACGCCCACCACGGGCATCATTCGCACCACTCCCACCCTCATCATCATGCCGAAGGCGGCGGCGGCGGCGAGAACGAGAGGGGGGAGGCGGGGGTGCTGGAGAAGCTCTTGCCGTCTTTGGGCGGGGGCGGGCGACGCCACGGCGGGAGCGGGAGCCTGCGGTACCACGGACGCGGGGAATGCCAAGAGGCGCGTGTTATTGTGGTACTGCTGTAGGTCTGGTGTCGTGGTCACGGTGGTCGTGGATCGTGTGTTGTTGCTGTCGGTTTTGCCGGTGGAGGCGGGTGTTTTTTGTTGTGGTCGGCGTTTGGTGCCCTCTTGATGTCCGTAGCATCGTCAGAGTTGTTAGCCTAGCTGCTGTCCTTTTTTTGTTTACGCTCCAGGTCTGCTGCTCGCAACACGCCCCCACGCTTTCACGCTTACCGTATTCGTTGTCTCCCGAACGACAACAGTTTCTCGCATTTTTTTTTTTCCTGCAGACTTTTTTTGTTTTTTGTGGCACGTTTTGGTGGGCACCCTTTTTTTTTTTCCTACGTGACAAGCGCGTGTGTTCGAAACACGCCCTACATCCTCGTCCTGCTGGCCACCAGCAACCACTGCCCTGATCAACGAAAAATACCGACGTTTTTTTCCCTCTTGTCCCTGAAGGCTCGCATGAACGACATATCGATGTCGTTGCTCCCCCTGGTCCGAGAGAGAGAGAGAGGGAGAGGGAGACACCGGTCCGATGGCGGCGGCGGGAGCGGCTCGTCTCGCCGCCTAGAGGAAGGGGAAGGGGAAGGGGGGGGAGGGGAGAGCGGCGGCAGGGGGACGGCCCCGGGCCTCGCGACGGACGAGATTCTCGGTGCCGGTCTGATGGACGTCGTCATGCACGAGGTTGGTGTGTGTGGAGAAAGCGGGGGGGTGTGGGGGGTAAGTACTCATGTAAACGCATGACGTAGCCGTCAGACCGTTGGCCTTGCGGTCAGGACGGAGCGATATTTCGCCGGCCCAGGCAATATTTCACAAGAATGAAACCAGAACCTGGCCGTCATCCTTTGGGGAGAGGTGACAGAGATGTCTAGTTTAAGGTTGTGGAATCGTTTTTTTTTTTTTTTACGTGTTCGGGGTGAATGAAGGGGTGATGTGCGGTGTGCACGTGCTACTACGATAGTGTAGTGTAGTGCCCCACTCTCAAGGCCGGCTTTGTTTCGCTTACACGTGGGTGGGGGTGGGATTCGTCGAGGTGCCTGGACGTGGGAACGGGTGGGCATGCTGGGATAGGCATCGCGAAGGTCGCGGTGCTCCGAAAGGTCGCGACCGCACCACCACATCAGCAACAGTATTAGTAACAGTCGTTGGATGTTGAGACATGTAGCCATGCACATGCGAGACAGGAAAACGAAAACGTTGCCCCC